TTTGTGGGCTACACTTTTTCAATATATCACCACTCTACAGCCATAGTACTTACATCCATGAGGTTCTCCTCCATGTAATGAGAAAAATATTTCAGCACCGTCACTTGACTAATAAATTGCTCAGGGGCGTCCGTTGCTGGGAAAACAGAGCATTGGCCAAGCTCTGCGTAATAGTGAACTGTTCTAAAAAACAGGAATGGTAGAGAAAGAGGAGGAAAAAAAAAAAAAGAAACAGTTAGTCACTGTTTTTAGATTCCTTTAGTGTAAGATTTAGAAAATTGACAGTATTTCATTAATCGGATACACTTACTTTTTGTCTGGAAGGAGGCTCATGTGAGCACCGTTGTTGAAAAGGACACCGACAGTGTGGTCTGAGAGCTGGTACCCAAAGCCGTATTTGTTAGAGTAATCAACCCATTTGGTGACCCACTGAAATGATGTGCTCAGCTGCTCTTTGGGAATGGAGTCAGCTTCTGGCATGTTTTCTAGACATCCCCGAAGAACTCTTGCTACTGTGTCTGCAACGCTTCCCATGGTACTGTCTTCAAGGCCTGAAAAGTCAAACAGAGATGTAAGTTATAAAATATTTAGCAAGAAAACTTCAAGTTTTGGCAGATGCTAAGATTCCCTCTACTAATTCTAAAGACATAGAGCTCAGGATTATTCCTTATCTTTTTCGAATTCCTCTAATCTTGCTTCCTCTATGTCAAATTAAGCTTCAAAATAAATTTACTTCAATTACTTTGTATTTAGCACTGGAATTTATAGTTTCACTATTTAAAATATGATTGACAACCACTTACATTCGCTGCTACTGCTGCAGCTGCCAAGAGTCCCTCTGACTATCATTCGAATAGCATCTCCAATCTGCTGTTTGTTTTCTACTGCGGGTGTTCCAGATCTGGCAACGGTAGTGGCAGGTGGCTGGAGCTCCTAAGAAGAGAGAAAAGTCATGCAATGAGTCAAACATCTAAATTCATTTAAAGCTGAGAATTCCAGGTTATGGTGAGATTGGAACAATTGCTGGGAAAGCTTATCAAAAACGAATGGACACAAGCTAGACAAAAGATATCACAGTAACTCAATTGAATGCATTTTAAAACTAAAAGGCATTATCTTTCCTTTCAAAGGGTTAAAAAAAAGCTTTAAATACAACATGCTTGAAGCATGATAATCACAGTCCTCGTGTTTATCAACAAAGAACAGAAATGATATGAAGTGTTTATATCTGTTTTTTTCTTTCCCAACACACCTCATCTGTCCTGTGTTTGCTGGGTTGTTGAGTTATTGAAGTCTTTTTCAAATCATGCCTAAGCTTGTAAATTTCTTCATCTTCTTTAGACACTCTATCTATAAATCAAGGAAAAGAGTTATAAGTATTAGTCTATGTCAACAAGGTAGGAACATAGCTAGCACATTTCCTCCTTTTTGCATTATTACCCAGTTTATGAGCATCCAAAGCAAAAATAGGGTTTTATCCAATTGCAATTACCCAAAAAGCACACTTTGTTGTTTACAAAACAAAATACCATCAATCACAAATTAAAGGTGTGGGTTTATTATGCTATAAATGTCAAAATTCAACAGTATGCAAAAATACTGGCTAAGTTATAATAATATAAAATCTCTTTTTTTAAATTTAATTATAATATTAGGTACAGAAAGGGGGAGTAGTCTTGTAACTTACTATGTGTGTCAATATATCTTGCTTTGTCTTTTTTGCCACCAAAGAGAGCAGCAGCTGCTTTCTTAAAGAAATTCTTAGCTGGGCTTGATAAATGGAAATCTGGAACCGTGTGACAACAGCTAGAAGAAAGTCTGTCTGGAGTGAAGCCCTGTGGAATATACGAAAAGGCCTTCAGTAACCTGCCAAATAACTGGGATCAATGGTATGTAATAAAAAGATGTAAGATGGTACACCAACCTGCAAAAAGAAGTCATGTCGAATGATGTCATCCAAACTGGGACGATCCTCTGGGTTTTTGGACAACATGCTAGCTATTAAGTGCTTGGCAGGAGCTAGCAATGAAGATGGCATTGTATACCTTGCTTCTCTTATGCACCTGTAAGTTTCTTTCAGATTTGTAGTTTCAAACGGGGGCCTTCCTAGTAACATTGTATACCTGTGTGCAAAGAAACGTACCTTTAGCAATGGCCATAAAGCAACTCTTTTCGAGTGTTAAAATCTAAATTCAAATTTGATTTTTAATTATTGTGGTGCATTTACTTACATTACACAGCCTAACGCCCAAATATCTGATTCACAGCCATGTCCTTGTTTATTAAGAACTTCAGGAGAGAGATAATTTGGGGTACCACATATTGTTCTGGAAGACAAAATATCAAGAGCTCCTTAGGAACGATTCCAGTGTTTAAACTTAATTTTATTGATGTAACTTGATGGTCTTAAAAATACTATATTGAATTTCTGTTTGAAAACATTTGACTTTTAGCATTTGAACAACTGACATTTGACCAATTGACTTATGATAATTTTTTTAATGCATGTACAATACTTCAGCTCACATAATAAAGTATTTTTATCCAACTGAGATCAGGGACATTGTGATATTTTTATATATTTCAAACAAAGATAAGATTTATTTGACTGCTTTAATTATCAACTTAGAGGTATAAGGTGTTCTTTCTAGTCCACAGTAGGTACTTAATAAGTGTTTCTTTACATTAACATTGCTGTGGTTTACAGATTTTTAGTATCAACTGACCTCCAAAACATTAACTGCAAAATAAAGGTAACTGGTCTCCACAAAATCCTGGTAGGATGCATCTTTCTGACTCTTACCTCCTTCTGTGTTCCAAGGGTTCCAGCCTGGCTGCCAAACCGAAGTCCCCAACTTTTAGTTCCATGGCTTCATTAATAAAAAAATTCCCTAGACAGAAAACAAAACAAAATGTGAATCCCTTTGCAAAGGTGTTCTAACCAAGTACATACACATTCACTTGGAGGCAGACAGCCAGTTGGTATATTAAAGTCACCCATTTAAAAGCAAGATTGCATAGGCTAGATCCCAATTAAGAATATTAATATGTAAAAAGGGAGAGAGGAGAAAAGAACATTCCTCTCTAACACAAAACTCAGCATTTGACATCAAGGGCTTACCTAGTTTGAGATCTCTGTGCAAGATTTCTTGTTCATGAAGGTACTTTAGTCCAGACACAATCTGCCTGAGGTAGTATCGGACTTCTGGCTCTGTCAACACCTTCCTTGCCTTCAAGATATGAGCCATTGACTAGGAAGAGGAGATGGAAAAAAGAGAATCTGTCAAACAAAGTTACCAAAATTCAGGATGAGCCATGAAAGTTAATGTTGCCATATAGTAAGTACTGCCACAGTTAAAATCCCAGATTAAATGCTATTTAACTACGATGTTAAATTTGGGGGAAGCAAATGGTCTCGCACAGGAGTTAAGGCTTACCCTTCTACTGCAGTATTCCAAGAGAATGTAAATGTTTTCTTTGTCCTCAAAGTAGTGGTAAAACTGCACTACATGCTTATGATGAAGAATTCTGTGAAGCTCTATTTCTTTGTCAATCTATAAGAAAAAGCAAGATAAGGCTTATTAGCCTCCCATTCCCTCTGAAAAGCTAGTGCTTACACATGCAGAAGACATTTTCCCAACAGGGAAGGGCCATCCCTGCACACAAAGAAAATACTTTACTCAACAGTCATACACACCTTTTCCCTTTGATGAGGTTTAGCTACTCTGCTGTGAGGAATAATTTTTGCAGCGTAGACTTTGTTATTCGTCAAATCTGTCATCTCGTAACATTTGGCAAAGCCACCCTGAAAGGAAACAAAGCCAAGACAGAAACTGAGTATGGCAGAAACATGGACGGCAGAGATTTTAAATAAATAATTAAATAAATCAAGCCATCAAAAGAAATAAGAAAAAAAAACAAAAAACAAAAATTTGGGGAATGGAGGGGTGGACCAAGGGATGCAGTCTACTTTGTAAAAAGCTCCGTCCTAAAGGGAAACGCATTCCTGAAAACAACAAGTTCAAACAGTTTCTCTCCTTCCTTTTACAAAGGGGAGCTTTAAGGAGGGAGTTGGGGTAGGGGAGACACGAAAAATAATGTCTGAAGAGACTTGTCGAGAAAATTCCCCCGGGGAGCAGGTGGAGAGAGCCAGGTCTGGCACAGAAAGCCCCTGCTGCTGGACTCAGGACCAATTTCCCCGGGCGGCTGCGGGAGGCTCACAGCTCCGCGGCTGAGGATGGAGAGCTGATCCCCGGCTCTGCCAGCGCACAAAAGCCGGCGGGGCAGGTGCGGGGCCCACGCCGCGCCCGGACCGGAGCCCCGAGACACCGAGCAGCGGCGGGCGCGGGCCCCCGGCTGGCCCCCGCAGCCCTCCCGCCCGCCCGGCCGCCGGCGCCCGCCGCTCGTCACCTTTCCCAGCACTTTGCCCCGGCAGTAGCGCTTCCCCGTCGTGGGGTCGACGATAATCCGCGAGATCTCGGGTCCCGAGTGCGAGTGGTGGTGGTGGTGGTGCGGGCCGGCCGGCTGCCCGTGCGCCTGGGGCTGCGGCGCCTGGGGCTCCTCGGGGGGCTGCTGTGGCCGCTTCTTCTTCGAGTCCCCCCCGCAATTCTTGCCCAGCGCCTGCTCGCACATCTTGGTGCTGGCCGCCGGCTGGTAGGTGATAGTCCGCAAGAGTTCCATCGCCTCCTCGCCGCCTGGCACCGCCTGCTGCCCCCTGCGAGGCGCGGACACACGTCCGAACCGGCCCTGGACCTCGAGCCGCGCCTCTGTCGCCAACCCGCGCCCGACACCCCAGTCCACTTGTGCGAGTGCGAACGCTCGGCGAAGCCTTATATACGCGCGGGCGGGCAGGGGGCGGGGACGCGAGGCGGAATGTCGCGTCACGGGCGACGCCCCGCCCACCGGCCGCCCGAGCGCGCTCGGCAGAGAGGGAGACCGCGCCCGGCCGGCCGCTCGGGTTCCGCTTCGGAGCGGCGAGGCTCAAACGCCCCCGGCCGGAGCGCTGGCCGCCACCCGGAGGCTGGCAGCGGCGTCGGGCCGTGCGCGGGCCCGCCACCCCATTCTTCGAGTGCTCCGAGCCTCGGCGTTCAACTCGGAAACCCGAGGGCCGAAGCCTGGTCCCAGCCGTGCCCCGCCGCCTGGTGGCGGGGCCGCGGAGTGACCCGAGCCCGGTGGGCGCGGGTGTAAACGCAGGTCCATCCCCCCGCCCCCCGCACAGCCCTTTCTGACCGCCCGCGACCTGACGCGGGGACCAGGCGCGAGTGTGCCCGGAGCCCGCTCACGCCGGCGTGTGGAAGGGTCGGGCGCCGGCGTCGGTTACCGGACCCGCTCGCGTCTGGGGGGGCGGTGCGGAGACGCCGAGCCCGGGAAAGGCCAGGGTCCCCGAGCGCGGCGTCCGGGTTCACGCCGCCGCCGAATGAGGCGGACTTTCGCTCGCAGGGTGGCGCCCCGGGGGCGATCGCCCGACGGCGCCAGGATCCCACCTGAGCCCGTTACCCGAGCGTGAGCCGCTGCCCGAGGTCGGACCCTAAACCTTGGAGAGGGAGGCCGGCGCCCGGCACGCCTTCGTCCTCGGGCTGCCAGAGATCGGAGAGCAAGGGCGCCATCTGGTGGAAGTCTCAGAAGTGCGGTTAGCTGTCTGAGGGGCAGTGGGGAATAATGTGGGCCCCCTTTGGGAGTCAGTGGTGTTAAAGTCGATGCTAGTTATGAGTTTTGCAATCGAAGTCATCCAGGACCACTTCCGAATACGTGTGTTCACATGGATCGGTAGATGCCCTGGTGCTGGGAGAGTCGATGCAAGACTTTCTGGGGTCGGGGAATTGGTAGGATGAGGAGGAGCTAGGCAGGTGAGCTAAAACATGGCTAGTCTCCCACTTCCAGATTTTACTGTGTGGTTTTACTTACCTGGGAGCACAGTTTTTTCTTGCTCGAATTACATTAGTGTAACATTTATTGAGCACTGTTCGGTAAGTGCCTTATTTAATCTTACAACAATTCTGAGTGGGAAATACAGTTATGTAAGGGAGGAAAAATAATTTTCTGTACTTTTAAATTTGGGCCTGGGTCCCTGTAACCAAACAGATTAACAAGAGGAAAATAAACAAGTTCATTAACATGCATATCTCATATGTACATAGGAGATAACCAGGGAAATGAGTAACTCAAAAGAGATGGCTTAAAATTGGGGCTTAAACACCATTTTTAGCTAAACCAAAAGAAAAGAGTGTGGGGAAGACAAGTTAAAGAAAGGTGACCAGGAAAAATATGGTAAATAGAAGTCTGGTTTGTTTTTCTCCATTGATAAGAGGCTCTAGTGATTTAGTATCACCCTTTCTTCCTGGTACAGAGGAGACATTGTTACAATTGGAGATTTTTTCTTTCGGTGAATATCAGTTTCCCTTACAAAAGGGTAATATGCCATTTTCAGAGCTTCTGAACTGTGTCTTTTTTCTCAAAATAATCAGCTTAAAACAATCCTTATCCCAAAGCCATCTTTGGGGTGGCACACTCTCATCTCCTACATTATTATTTCCATTTAACAGATGAGGAAACCAGGGCTTGGAGAATTTAAGTAACTATTCATTCTATATTTTTTAGTAGATCATCCAAGTTATGTTAATTAGCAGCATACTTGAATCTTTTCACCTATGTTAACAAGATATATTAAACAGTTTTTGATACTAAGTTCCAGAGACATTTATAATATCGGATTAATGAACCCCTGGAAGGTACTTAGAAAGATGTTTGCTACAATCCACTATCAAGTTTAGATCTGTGTGGTATCAGTTAACACATTGACTGCCATGTGAGTTGTGTTTAACTTAGGCTAGTTTTGAGCCTGGGGTCTTCTGAAGCAAAGCCCTGCAATTGGTCGTGAAAATCTTGCTTGTTGATGTTTTTACTGTTACAATTAATATTGACAGTTTAATTCCAAAAAATGTGGGTTGTGTTGCATATAACTCACACACAGAAAACAATACAAAAATAGTAAATTAGAAAGGATCGTTTTGTTTTAATAAAACACTCTGGCCCCGGGGAAAATTTTCTTTTCTAATGTGGCAGTCAATGTGTTAATCAAACATTTACAAAGACATTCTGTCTCACATACTTCCTACAAAATGTAGAAAGGCTTCATTAGCATTACAGAGTAGAAAGGGAAAATGTTTTCAGTCTTCCTGCTTTTTTTTTGATTCATTAAAGAGTTCAGGGCAAGTCCGGGCATGTTTCTCATAAGTGACAGTAGATTTTTAACCCCAAGATTATCAGGGCTAGACTAAGGGGTGGCGCTGAGGGGTGGAAATTAAGAATTACGTAATCCTCCCTTTTATTTATAAACCTAGGGAGGACCTTTGCTCCCCAGATTTATGCAAATCTATTCACCAGCCTGAAGAGGGCTTGCCAGTTTGGAAAATACTACCTGAATTTCCCAGAGCTAATTTTATACACCATGTCTTTTATTTTATTGGTTGATAATTATATACATATACATATATATAATTATATATGTGCATTTGCCTATGCCTGAAATAAAAGGATTTTGAAGAATAGATTGTCATGAATTTTTAAATATTTGATTATCATGTAATATGGTTTATATTATTACCAAATAGACTTCAATATTTAATAAACTATTGAACATTTCATATGAAATTCAGGTTTTATGTTCCATAACATGCAGGTATTTTATAAAGCATTGACACTGCGTTAAGTCTTAAGGCGCCTTCTCGCCAACTGTGAAAATGTGATTTTTCAGGTTGTGCTGCCATCATGTGGACGGAACCAAAATTGTAGTCCATAGACCAAAAAAGGAAATCAGTGTACTTTCTGTTGGTGATAAACCTTTTGCAAAATATTTCTCAGTAGATCTATAAATTTAATGCAGATGCAGTTGAAATCTTAATAGGATTTTTAGTGAAATTTGACAAGTTGATTGTAGGATTTATATGAAACTGTGTAGGGAACCAAAAATAGAGTTGCTTTAACTACTTCTGTACAGCTCTAACTGGCCGAGAAACCTTGCCCACAGCCAACACTCATAGTCCCCACAATAGTTTGTGCTCTGCATTGATGGCAAATTCATTTTGCTCTTGTGTGATGAGGAAAGCTTGAAAGCTTGTTTTACTTTACAGGCAGCTTTAGGAAAATAACTATAATAACTTCTACTAAGGGCTTGTTAAAAGGTCACAGATTTGTAGTAAATTATTAGCTGAACGTGCACACTGCAACTGCAGAGATAAAAGTAAAAGCTTTTGGCTGTTGACTAAAGTCGTCGCTCGGCTGTGCGCCTTCATATCATGGCTGTCAGCTAAAGTCCACGCTGGAGTTTATCTGTGGCTGTCGGCTAAAGTCAATGCTCAGCTGTGCGCGTTCATCTGTGGCTATCAACTATAGTTGACACTGGTAAGGAAGTGGTTAGAGAAGAATAAAAGGGGGAGGATCTCTCTACTACGTATCCAGACTTATAATGAAGGTAAAGGAATTAAGAAAATTTGGTCCTCCCGTAGAGATTGACAACCTGACCAGAGGAATAGAATAAAGAGCCTAGAAGTAGGTCCACATGTATATGGAACTTTGATATATGACAGATAGAGGCATGATAGATTAGTGAGGGGAGGAGGGACTGTTCAGGAAATGGAATCAGAATCAAATTGGTTTTTGTTTCTCCTGATGCCCTCTGTGTGTTCAAATTTTATCTTACACGGACAGCAGTCAGACTGCATTAGGGCCTACCCCTATGACATCATTTAACCTTAATTATCTCTTTTAAAGCCCTAACTTCAAAACAGTCCTCTTCTGAGGTACTGGGGATTAGAACATATGAATATGAGAGGGGCACAGTTCAACCCATGACACACACCATATGTAAAAAAAACTTACAGATGGAGTAAGGACTTAAATGTCAAGAGTAAAACTTGAAAATATTAGTAGAAAATATAGGCAATTAATTTTTGACCATAAAAGAAAGATTTCTTAACATGTAAAAAGCACTAACTCTATAACAAGAATGATAAATTTGACCAAGTTAAAATTAATAGCTTTGATTCATCAAAAGACACCTAAAGTGACCAAAGATAGGCTATAACTTAGTGGAAGGCATATCTGTTAAAGGATAAACTTGGGCACATTAAAATGTTAACGTTTATTTGAACATTCAATGATTCATGAATCAGGCACCATCAGACTGCAAGCAGTTCTGCACTCCACTGAGGGGTGAGAGGAAATTTACAAGTGGGCAAGGAAGGAGACAAAAAAATATGCCTGATTGGTTAAAGTGGAAAGTCCCTCCTTAAAGGTTGGTCGGTGGTTTCTGATTGGTTAAGTATAAGTTTCATTTTACTGTTTACATTGGGCTTTAGTTTGCTTCTATAAGAACCCAAGGTGCTGAAGCCCTATTATTAGAGGAGGTTAGCTTAATAACCTCCAAATTTAATTTTATTTTTAGTACCTATAGCCATCAAAGAATTAGTACAAGAATATACAAAGGTCTCCTTTTTTATTAGGTCAAAAACAACCCAATAGAGAAATGATTGAAAGACATAAACAAGCATTTCATAGAAGAATACCTACTTACAGTCAATAAACAGGAAGATATTCTCAAAGCCATTAATAATCAGAGAAATGCAAATCAAGACCATTTAAACTCATTCTATTGGTGAAAATTAGGAATCCTAATAATATCAAGTGTTGGAGAAAAAGTGCATCAAGAATTAACTTATACAGTTATGCCAAGAGAGTAAATTGATCATTCTCACGTTCTATAAGAGAAATGTTTACACACGTACACCAGAGACATGTACAAGCATAGTCAGGGCATCACTTTAGTAATCCTCAAAATGGACACAACACAGATGCTCATAGATAGGAGAATGCATAAACAAATTATGGTACATACACATAATGGGATATTATGTGAAAATCAATGAATTATAGATATTCATGTCAATATGGATGAATCTTAATAATGTTGTATTAAAAAGGCAAATCAAGAATTCTTCTTTTCATAAAATGCAAGAACTAAATCAATTTTGTCTAGACATACATATATATCTAATTTAAAATGCTACTTTAAAAAGACATTTTAAGCACAAAATTTAGGATTCTGCTACCATGTATAGATGAGGCAAGGGAAAAGGAGAGGGAAAGAACATACAAGTCCATGTATATTGTTGGTGATTTAGCTCTAGGGTTGGATTTTGGGAATACTCAAAAGGGGCATGCATACATGTAGAGACCAGTGATAACTATGTGATTAGCTAAGGAGTATAGTTAATTCAATTTTGTGTGCCTTAAATATGGATTTAAAAAGTAATTATTTCTGATGAACACATGATGGAGGGAAGTGACCCAATGAGACAAACACTTTGATTTATGAGTATGTTGCCAAGAAGCTGGGTTGGCAAATTCGGGTAGATTAAGTCTGAGTTGAAATATATATCCTGGGTGTCTTAATCCATTCCTGCTGCTATAATAAAATACCTTAGACTGGGAAATTTATGAGCAAAAGAAATTTATTACTCAAAGTTCTGGGAGCTAGGAAGTCCAAAATCAGGGTGCCAGCAGATTTGGTGTCTGGTAAGGGCCTCATAGATGGCACCTTCTCACTGCATCCACACACGGTAGAAGG